ATCAAGAAAAATAGGGTTAAAGCCTATATTCAAAGAATTGCCATGATGAAAACCCAACCTAGTTAACTAGAGATCCCAAGATCTAGATTTAAAGGGATAGCTAAATCATGTTTCAATCTACTAATTTCAATTTTATTTATTCCTACGAAGAAAAGTGCTACATATAGTGAAAACCAGTATAAACTAAGTTTTTAATGATTCTTACTGTTTGAGAAATTCAAGTAGATGTATTACAAGATACTTTTAATAAGAGTTACCTATGAAAGTCTGAAATAAAGCTACTTATATGAGAATTAGAAAAAAAAAATTAAATTTTTCAAAGCACCTTTTGAAACCATGATATGTTTTGGCCTAAAATGAACACAACTATGAAAATTTAAATTGTAAGAAAATAAATTGTGTGATTTTTGTTATCTGGGTCTACATAAAAGATTGAACAGTTCAAGATGTCATATTCATTAATTAGCCGAGTAAATCTAATAGTTTTTCATTAAAAAATGTTTAAGATTAAAAGTTACCTTCTCTGATAACTTTTTGTTGTTACTTTTAAATTTATGTGTTAACTTTATATTTTATTTTAATCAAATAATTTTTATTTATGCCGAGGATTATTAGGGTGAATGAGAAGTTACATTTGTATTCTTCTAAAACAGAGTAACATTAATTTAACTATACCATTGTAAAGATATATTTGTTTATGTTAAGTAAAAGTAACGTTAATTTAACTATCAGAAATCATCCATATAAAAAAAAACTCTAACATAGTTTAAAAAACTTCTAATTTTCTATAACTCCTCCCTTTTACATTTTTCCTATCAAAATCCCTCTACTTCTTTCTTACAAAGAGTAACGTTCAAGTCTTGGGTTCGCTTTCTCGGTTGTGCTGCTAAAAATAAAAGATTAAGTATAAGAAACAATATTGCAATGACACTGCTATCACTAAAGAGCAATCAATAAATTGTTTTAAGTTCAAATAATTGATCGTTACCTCATTTTACTTCCTTAAATTTATTTTAATTCAACAAATACTGTAAATTATTTTTTTATATGTAAGTTAATATGCATTTTTTATATTTTGCAGAAGCTAGATCATGGTAACTACAAAAATTTGATTCCAACATTGCTTGGCTACAACAAATCAAACCGCTTTATACAAGTACAATTATATTAGCCACGGAAACATTTTTCCAAGAATCTCTCAAGTTTCTACACACAACCCAAAATATGTTCGAGCTTTCAAGAAACACATGTAGTCTGATCATTCTATGATTCCAGAAGGGGTGAGTATCTTGAACAATATTTACACACCAGGAGATTTTTCTAGTGAACCTGTCAACAACAATAAAGCTAGCGTTTCCTCTGTGCACTAGCTCTTTCCAATACAGGGTTTGCTGACTGAACAAATTAGGGCAATCTATCTGAATATTGACGCTAATTATCAAGCCAGGAGACGCTTCTGTGGATCAAACTCACTTTCCAGGTGATCACCATCACGGAAACCTTCTTTGCCTTTAGCCCATAGCACCAAGTATAGACCAGTGAACATGAGGAACATACCAGCAAGGCTGCAAATGAGAAGAATAAAAAACAGGATACTGAAAGGTGACGAAGTTATGTGTGCTTCTTGTCACATATAATTACTTCGTGATTCTCGCTAGCTTACCTTGCAAGGTTAAATCTGTCGCCTAAGGTAATAACAGAAAAAACAACTGAGATAACTGTTCCAATGGGGTTAAACACGGCCACATGAACTGGGCCCCTCTTCTTCATTGCCCATCCATTGAAGCTCACACATGCTCCACCAACAGCACCTCCCTGTGCATCCAAATGATTAGAAGCTTGTAAACAAGATTGATAGACTGCAGAAGGTGTTGAAGAAACAACATAAAATTAAAGGGAATTATTGAAATGATTTAACTCCTCCATTCCTTATTAATGGTTTCAAGTAGCACAAGCAAATTAAAGTAGAAGAAAGTGGCTCTAATTAATAAAACGGAAATTTCCATTCTTGTGATAAAATTTAACAAATAATCTTGACATGTTAGAAGAGGGAAAATAATGTGAGATTACCAGTATAGAATAGCAAATGAGGGTCCCGAGTCTCATCAGGGGCCAGCCAACGTCCACTCTGTGGTTTAGAACCAATTCTACAATCGCAGTTATAATTACTCCAATCAATGATGTTATGGCACACAGGGATATAGGAGCAGGAAAATCACCCAAAGTAGTAGCCTGTACGTAACACATTGCAAAACTCAATTTGCGAGATTAAAATTATGCAGATTGTACATAATTAATTCCTTCACTGTTGATCTAAAACATTACCTGCAATACAACATTGCTTGATAGAACAAAAACCGCTGCTATGAGATATAAGCAACCGTTAATCTTATGTTTGTCGAAGCTCATATCTCCCGTGGGAGTACTTTCCGTGGACTTTGACTCTTTTGCTGATTCAGTGCTGCTCATTAGACTCATCATGAGGGCACCTACAACGCATAAAATGGTGCCTACAATCTTGACTTTGCTGTATACGCAACATAGCTTAACTTTCTCTAACCTGCACATAGCTAGTGATCAGATAAACAATCACTAGACAATAGCAGAAACACATTGAGAGGAAGGGGCACCAGATGCTTGGTATATATATTTATTATTTTCTCTATTTTTTTAGCTAGTAATCAGAAAAACAATCACTAGACAAAGTAACTGTCATTACTCAACTAGATTGGAGTGAAAGTAAATTTCTGTGGGCTTTTATGTTTTGTTAAAAGGAAATTCACGTTTTGAAATGCTAAAAAGGAAATTTGGAAATGATACCTTAATGTCCAAGCAATAATGAAAATAAGCCCTGGAGCAAGGTTCGGCATGGCTGTTGCCATTGCTGGTGAAGTTAACTTAATCCCCTTAAGGAATAAGGACTGAAACAGAGTAACCCTGAAAATGAAATAGGAAAGAAAGAAAACCATTTGAGTGCCCTGCTCAATGAATCAGTGTCTAGGCTTTTCTCCTTAGTTTGTTTCTCGGTCTGCTCTCTCCTCGCTCAAAAAAAAGTAAAAACCTCTACAAACGTTAATAGATACATCCATGGACAAAATGACAATAGAATGTCCAACATGAATCTTACAGAAACTAAAAAGAAAAAACATGCTAGGATTCGGGCACCCATAGCTCTCGAAAGATCAATATCTCTAACATCATCCAAAGTGGTAGAGAACGCTAGACCCCAAAATGATGTTTAATGTACTAGTTGGTAATGAGTGACGCATGAGTGGATGCACGTCAACAAATCTGCTGGTGACAGGGGCATCCAACATGTCCTGTGCAGATGCTGTAGCACCACAGGCCTGCAGCGTGTAGACGTGCCTATCGACTATATGTCGATTAAAATAAAAGTAAGGACTTGCCTAGACCTAATTATGCCACACATAATAATGAATCAATATATGACTTGTTTTACAAATGGACACATTTCTCCTCAATTGATATTGGAGAGCCATCAGAGAGCTGAGAGCCCTTCGAGAAAATTACACTCCAAACAGAACCTAAACTGGTGCTGCTGTATTGTGATTTTCCTGTACAAGAGAACAATAACTAATGGTAACTTTGGAGTTCTCTTGAGGATTTATTTGCGCCTTCATCATCTTAGTGCTTGGTTTTGTTCAAAGAAAACAACAGTCTGCTAATTATTGATTACAAGACCTACCAGCTTTGATTTCCTTGAAGAGAACAATACTGACAAAACAAAGTACTAATTACAAAACTGAATTTTGCAGGCAATATATATATATATATATATATATATATGCATATAGCTAGCTCTCTAACTCTGACATTCATTACATGTAAGTATTGCAGTTATTGACATTTAAATATCAAAATTCATCTTAAAGATTTTTAATTTTTGCCTTACCCTCCAAAAGAAATTAAAACCAGCTGAATCATCAACTTCAATCTGAATTCCTTTGGCCATTTGCTCCTGCAACATGAACATAATTTATTTCCCATAAATATGTATATATATAGAGAGAGAGATGAGAGAGAGAGAGAGAGACCTTTCAAAATGAACAGCAATGGGAGAGAGTATAAGGAAGGTGGCAAAAGTTGAGAAGATAACAATGGTTAGAGGGTTAAGGCCAAGAGACATGAGATAGCTCAACAAAACCGAGTTCCCTGCGTACACAAATTGCACCATTATCAGCCCTGCTATAATCACCAAATCCTCGAGAGTCTGTTTCTTCTTGTTCCAAACCATTTTGAAATATCTATCCTCCCAGCAAAATTAATGTCCCCTCCAAGCAGAGAAAAGCACCCAAATGGAACGACTTCCTTTAATTATTCTCCCTTTATTGGTTCTTCACCGATGATCTCCAAACAAAAAACTCAAGTGGCCACCATATATATATATATGGTGGAGGATGCCAACAAATTTTTTTGTCTCTCCCTTTATAATTAGCACTAATTTCTCTAACAAGATTAGTTACAATTAACATTGAAAGAGAAAGAGAAAGGGCATCTCGCCTTCTTCCTTCTAAACCTTTGGCAGTTTTTCCTTATGCGCAACAAAACTAGTTTGGAATTAGCTCTCTTTCATGGGCTGGTTGTTTGGGAGTTTTCGTGGTTTTGTTGTTCCAAATGGATTTCTGTTTTTGTTGTTGATCTTATTTTTGTGTCTAGCCAACCTTCATGAATGCTTCTCTACCGGTTTTCTTTCCCTGTCCTTCGCGCATCATAGAGTGAGTGCCTATTGTCCTTTCCTAGCCATTCTTACCTCCCTTATCTCCAACGGCTCTCTTTTTTCTTTTTTCTAAATTTTCCCAACAAAATATATCTCCCTATTTTTGGAGTTTTATTGTTAAGCATAACAGAAACTCTAATGTGATCTTCCTATTAGGTTCGGAATTCACCAGAAAACCTAGAGCAATCCATTACAATTTTAGGTATTGCTTTTCCTTTTTTATATAAAAAATTCATTTCGTGACAATATTCATTAATTATATATTCTTTGACATGCGCGTGCACACGCGTGTGTGTCTATATATATATATATTGATGAAATTGTATTTTAAAGTGATAATTAATCATATATGTATATGGCAAATGATGGAACCATTGAAAGGGTTTATAAGGACCAAGCTCAAAGACTTTGTATAGAAATAGGATAAGGATTTTAGAGTTGTTAACTTTGTAATATTCTTTAACTGTTTTATAAATAATTTTACACATTTTTTATGACTTACATTAAGATTTTAATTAAATTTAAGCACTGCAATCCTTTTTGAAAAGCACAGTTATTAATTATCAAATAATATTATTGATTGTTTTAATCAAATAGAAGTTTTATATGCAAGCCATTGGGTCTCAGCAGCCAAATCTCCTGATCATTTGGGCATGGTATAGACGGCTAGGCAACCAACCTCTCTCCTTTACTTTTCTCTTTCTCCCTACACGTTCTCTCTCAAACATGCCTTCTCTCCCACATATTCTCTCTCCCTCTCTCTCTTTTTTTGGCCCTCGCATAATTAAGGCACACGCCCTAATGTATTATTCCTCATAATTATCCACTAGTGAAACAACAAGCACCACACAACTAATGGGAGCACCAACCTCTCCACAAATCTAGATGCTGCAACACCGCTCTCCTGTTTTCATGCTAACCTAATATAATTCAGGTCTATAAATACCTTGATCGTGGGTAAAATGAGCAAGCCAAGCTAGGAACACAAAAGTTATTCACGCTCCTGCTCCTCTACATGTTTTCTTATTTGTTTATTATTATTTTTTCTTTCTACATTGTCGACTAACTTAAGTATTAGAGATTTCGTGTTTTGACGAAGAACTTGTGTTATAAAAAACACCAAACGTAGAGAAAAAAATCTCACATTCGAACTCAATCACCACAGCTAAAGACGTAGCCCGTGGAATGCTCGTTCTTATCTCTAAAGTTTTCACAACTTCATCCATCATTATAAACATTATTTGCTTTACACCAAGCCGAGAGAGAAGATTTATGTGGAATATCTGCAAAAGGAACTGCCAAGGCTGAAAAAGTGGATTATAGCAAAATCTCTACCTTTTCTTTTTTCGCTTCTCCAATTCAAAGAGATTAAAGGGACAAATCTCTTCTATGAGTTACATGTTACTGGGGATCCATCTTTATCTTTTCAAATGTTTTATTTGTGCTCTGAGATACAATTTTTTTTAATAATTCCATGTGTGCTAGATTTTGTTCGTCATTCCTTCTAGTATATAGACACAAGACTAATGGACTATATTTTATTTGTGCTCATTTTACCCACGATAGCATGAAAACTGGAGAGTGGTGTTGCAGCATCTAGATTTGTGGAGAGGTTGGTGCTACCATTAGTTGTGTGGTGCTCTGAGTTGCATGTTAATGAGATTAGTTTATTTTTGTGTTTTAAAAGGGTTTTTGAAACCAATTAATTTTTTTTATTTTAGATTAATATGTTTTTAGTATTTTTAAATTATTTTGATATATTAATATCAAAAATAATTTTTTTAAAATAAAAAAATAATATTAACATGTATTTTTATTTTTAAAATAAAAAAATAATATTAACATATATTTTTATATAAAAAATAATTACAATTACATTACCAAACAAGCTTGTTAAACATTTTCTAACACCGTAAATATATAGACCACCAATAATATTGTACGGATATTAATAGAGCGTATCCAAAAAAATTAATCACTCCCACAATTTATTGTGTTCCAGGCAAACTTTAATACTGGTTGTTATTATCCATATAAAATCTATTATTATTTATATGTGATTATCCGAAATAATTTGAAGCTAATTAAGTTTAAGTAAAAATATAACTTTAGCATGATACTGTGCCATCATTACCGGCACGCTTTCTATGGATACACTTCTTTGGCACTGTTTGTTTAATTATCTTCATGTTTGAATCTGTGTTTTGATAAGTTTTAAAGGTGTATTTAACTCGAAGAACATTAAAATAATATTTTTTATAATTAAAATAATAATTTTAAAAATTAAAAAAATAAATGTTTTGAAAATGTATTCGCAATACAATATCAATCACGTTATCTATGCCCAAAAAGGGTAAACTCTTGGTTCCTTCACAAACCTTCTAAATTTATGGCATGTGGTTACAATCAGAGCAAGTTTCTTTCCCCAATCTGGAAGCCTTCATTCGTGAAGATTGGATTGGATATAAAGTAATGCCTTGGTTATTTACCTGTTTTGAGTTGAGGTATATTCTTTGGAAGGGAATTGGACAGCATGCGTGTCTTTCCTGAACTGGATTTCTGGTTTGCCGTTGCATCTGCTGTTTCCTTTTGAAGGTTGTCTTCCTTCCCTGTCTTCACACTTAAAGCCCCATACAAAGGGTACCCGTAGGTGGACCGAAACAAGCTTCTCTACGCAGGAAGAAAAGTATTTTACTCCTCACTGGACACGTTAATTTTCTCGGGCGAAAATGTATCATCTTTAGCCACAAGACTCGTGAAAAGAAAATTGTAACCAGAGAGGAGATAGAATAGGGTTCACACGAATATTTATGTCGTATAAAAATCTGTAATAGGTTAAAAAGACAAAGAGTTGTTTTTCTTCCATTTGAATAATATATGTGTGATTTTGCTACACCTAAAAATTAAAAAAATTAAAAAAAAAACCCTGAAAATGACACCAAAAAAGGGAGTGTCATTATGCACATAGAAACAGTGTCAAAACACCCACCAATAAAGAAATTGTCCACTTTGATGATCTCGTATTTCTGAGACCAATTCCCTTGTTAAACGAATTATCCGACGCCAACAAGGAGCTAAACTTGAAATTAGGATTTGACCCATAAAGAGCCTGAACACCATCTACATCGTCAATCTTAAGGTCCACTTTCTTAGTCCTAGGACTCAAACTCGGATACATCACAGCTTCCTTAACCGAAGAGTGTGCCAATCCAAGCACATGCCCAATCTCATGCGTGGCAACTGATTCCAAATCAATCGCTACCCTTGACTTAATTTTATCTAAATCAAGGGCCCACGTTTCACTTGCATCGAGATGAAACCTCCCATTCTCCGGTGAAAATGCATGAGCCAATATACCCAGAACCCCATCAAACGGTTTTCCATCGCCATGATCCCTATGATAAAACCCAATTCGGATATCTGCTGATGGATATTCTTCAATTTCCATAAAACTCACTGGAATCACCTGTGCCCACCTTGAAAAGGCACGCTTGAAAACTGTCCTTGTGTCTTTTATACTTATGTAATCAATCATATTATTCTGCGAAAACGCATAGGTTAGTATCACCGGTGCCTGACGCATCCACCGTGGCTTACCATAAAAATATGCAAAACGTTTTTTCGCCTGGAACCTTGTGTCGTGTGTCTTTGTGTCACTAACACCACATCTGGGCAACACGATCATTGATATGGTATCAAAGTCCAGTTTACCTGTTTCAGGCAATCCTAGATTTGTTTGATATGCAAGAACAGCCGATTCGAATTGCGTATCGAAGGTATCGGTGAAATTTTTGGTGTCGGGAATCTGGAGGTAACCGAAACGGTTGAAGTATTTCTTCAGCTCCGACATGCCACTGACTTGACTGCCCTTCCCGACATCAAGGAAGCGAGTGAATTCATGCCACGTGGTGGCGTTATAGGAATCGACGGTTGTGACAGTCGATGAGGGGTCTGGTTTGATTCTGGCGGGAAAGGAAGGGCGGGAAAGGCAGAGGAAGGAGAAGGAGATTAGGAAACTGTAATAACTGAAAAACTGAATCATAGCGGTTGGCTGTTTTAATTTGTGGGGTACTGCTAGTTTTCTTGGCATTCGGACCTCTTTTAACGCAGGAGATCGGAGGATTTGCAATTGTTAGCCTAGGGAGTTTGGATTTGAGAGCAGTAAATCAATTTTGCATAAAAAGAGAGGAAAGTTGGGAAGATCCTGCCGTGGCCTTGTGTTCCTTTTTCATGAGAGATCCTGACTTTGGTGGGTGTGTGTGTGCAAGCCACTGTCTATATTTTGCTGATTATCTATTTATTTTGATTTAGGCTCTTGTATTAATTAATTATCAAAGACTGAGATTTGGCATTTTAATGTATTTTTAATTGAGAATAAGAATAATTATAATAATTTGATTGGTCTGAGTTTTGTTTGTGGTTTTCTGTTTGCTGAACAAATTAAATTTGAAGTCATTTCCATCTCATGTGTATTAACTTGTATTGCGTGATAATCGCTTGTCTTTTTACCCCCTATCATATCATATATATGTTTGACCAGCTTAACACCCTTTCTATTTCTGAAGGATACATGTCCACAAAACATTATTCACTACAAAATAATATTTATTTATTTATTTCAATCTTATATTTCAATAATTTTTTTATTTCATTATCCAATATTATTATGTTGTTTTGAGAAATTGTTAGCCAAGAAAGTTTTGTAGTTTTTTTTTCTTTTGAGTTATATATTAGTCTTATAGATTAAGTTTTTTTATTTTAATTTTAATTTTAATTTTTAATATTAGATTCATTGAAAGTGAAGTTTCCTAGTTTTTTTTTTATGAATTTATTTTAATCTTATGACCCAAATTCTGAGTTTAACAGGTTAATTCGAATTAATTTTGATCATTTCTTTGGGTTACTTTTTCTAATCAATTTATTTTATTTTATTTTTAAATATTGGGTTGATTGGAATCGGGTTTTATAATTTTTTTTATTTTTGTTTTATGAAATTATCCTGATTTCATAACCTAATTTACATGTTTGATGTGTTAACTTGAGTTATCTTTATATTTTTTGTCATTTTTAATTAAATACATGTTTTCAATTTTACCCTCCAGTAATTCAATATTTTTTTATTTAGTTTTTTTTTAATATTAGATTATTTGAGAATTGAATTTTGTAATTTTTTTTAGAATTTTCTTTGTGTGGAGTTTTCCTGTTCTCATGGATTTAGATTTTTTTTTATTTTTATTTTTATTTTTAATATTAAATTCATGGAAAGTGAAGTTTCCTAGTTTTTTTTGTTTTTTTATGAATTTATTTTAATTTTATAAACTAGATTCTGAGTTTAACAGGTTAATTTGAGTTAATTTTGATAATTTCTTTAGGTTACTTTTTCTAATTGATTTATTTTATTTTATTTTTAAACATTGAGTTGATTAGAATTGAGTTTCATAATTTTTTATATTTGTTTTTTTATGGAATTATCCTGATTTCATGATCTAATTTACATGTTTGATGAGTTAACTTGAGTTATCTTTATTTTTTTTTTGTCATTTTTAATTAAATACATGTTTTCAATTTTACCCTCCAGTAATTAAATATTTTTTTATTTAGTTTTTTTTTAATATTAGATTATTTGAGAATTGAATTTCGTAATTTTTTTTAGAATTTTCTTTGTGTGGAGTTTTCCTGTTTTCATGGATTTAGATTTTTTTTTTAATTTCAATTTTTAACATTAGATTTATTAGAAAAGAAGGTTCGTAAATTTTTTTAATTTTTTTATGAAGTTATTTTAATTTTTATAATTTAAATCATAAATTTTATAAGTTGACTAAAATTAACTTGAGTTTTTTTTAATTGATTTATAACAAAAAATAAATCTATTTATCTCCTGTTTTAATTTTTCCATAATTATTGGGAAATATCATATGGAGAGGGGAAATTATGGTTGCTCGATTCAGCTGTGCAAAAACAAGTTTAAAAAAGAATGGTTAAAGAAGTCTTGTTTGGTTTCGCTTTAAAAGCGCAATTGAGTTGTCTGGTGGACACAACTAGAAGCGCAACTTCATCGTGAGTAATTTATTTCTTTGTCACTATAATTATCAGGGGGTCCCTCCTAATAACCCTCTTTTTTAATTGGTTTCTTTCTTGAACCATTTCTACCAAGTTATTCATAATCACTACATATGTGCTAAAGCTAAACAACGAAAGAATGTCCAATTATTGGTCTTGGTCAAGATAGCTCATTTTATCTACTTTCCAAATATTCTTTTTGAGCAACAAGAATAAAAATCAAAGGAAGAAACACAAACATGATCAGGATATCGATGGGAAGTTTTTGTCTCTCTCTCCCTCCCTCTCTCTCTATAAGTATGCGTGTAGTTTTATTTTACATAAATTCCTTAATAGATTGCAAGAATTAAGATACTCCTAAAGACGATGATTGTTAACACCCACCTATAAAAGGCCATTCAACAAAAAAAAAAAATAATAGCGATGTCATCGGAGTCACTCGAAGCTTTCGCAATGGGCTGGTGGAGATTACGAAGAATGTGCTATTGGGGAGGGAGGGGGTTGGTTTGATGAGTGGAATCATAGTTGTGTTTTTAGAAAAAATTTATTTTGAAAAAAAACTTAATTTTTTTGTATAGTTTTAAATAGTTGATATCATCTCAAAAATAAATTTTAAAAGTTTAATTTAATATATTTTTTTAAAAATATTTTAAAAATCAAACATTACTACAATCTCAAACAGTGTTTTTATAGAAAAAAATTGCTAGTAATTTTTTTTTTTTTTTGTATTTTTAAGTTACAAGGCTCTGGAGATTTGATTTATTCTGGGTAGAAAAACTCAACTTATGATCAAAGGAATGATGGAAATTGATTTTTTCTGAAACCGTCTCTGGCTATCTCTCGGCATCATTGACCAGAAGGAGAGAAGTGGTAGTTAGCCTGAATTTGGATTCGAATTGTTCACTGGAACTCTGTCAAGGTCAAAATTCCTGGTGTCATCGGGCTATATTGCATGTCCTTCAACAATATCTTCAAAATCTCGACAGTATTTTCAGTCCCTTAAAACTTGCAACGTGGCCCAAGTGGTAAACAGGCCTGTGGGCTTTGAACTCCCTCTTCCCTCTCTTTCAGGGAGGAGAGGGGGGAGAGCCGGCGAGCCAGGGGAGGAATGTTTAATAGGATGGCGCCAGGCCCTGAGAAATCTTGACAACTAACCCAGTTTGCTTGTCAATGGTCCAATTTACCATTACTTGTTTGTCGTCATTTTCTTTGGTGATACATCGGTAGGTAGAAAAAACAACCATGAGTTAGTGTTCGAGCCCAGTCCTGGCAGAATGTTAGAACTAGCTAGGCACCTTCAATCAATCAATTGAACAACGGTAAGGATGCTAGACAGAATTATATAATTCCACTAGATAAAAATCAAGTAAATTGTAGCCTGAAACTGTCCAATTTTTAAGCTGTTTGTGTAGCTGGGAGAATTATATCAATAATACACTGGTTATTTATCTAATAATCTAAATTATTAAATAATATAATTTTTTTGATATAATATCAAAGTTTTAATAATCAAATAGTATGAATTTAAATTTTATTATTTTATTTTAATTAATAAAAATTAAAAACAAAATATAATATGAATTTATATAAATTTTAAATTTAAATAGGTTTTGTTAGTATATTTATTTTTTAAATTATTAAATTAAATTAATTGCTTTTAAAAGAATAGGAGTTCAATTATTTCAATTAGCAGTGTGGATTAGACAAAAGATCCTGTAGCCATAGCATGAATTGAATAGGCTGTTGGGTGCCAGAGGTTGGCAGCAAATTTGGATAAAGACCGCTGTCAATCCGTTTACCGGAAAACAAAAACTTTATATATATATATATATATATATGTTTTTGTCTCTGTTATTATCAGACTCTGAGACTCAGGCCCCTCTCTTGAATCCTACCACTCGAGGTGCATTAAATCCTGCCTCTTTCGGCCTGGCATTTGTGGAAGAAAAGAAAATAAAAAAAATCAAATTAGAAAATTCAACAAGCCTCTCTTCTGGAACGTGCTAACCTCCAACAAATCAAGACGCCGCTAATTAAAACAGAATGTTAGATCAACTAGTCGTAATCATGAATTTTCAAGCTTGACCAGCTACCCCCCTTCTCTCCTTTTCTTCTCCAATATCCTCCGAGCTGTTTTTCTCATTTTATTTACGATGGAGAATATTTTTAAAATAAATTTGTATACTAAAAAATATATTAAAATAATTTTTTTATTATTTTAATTTTTGATATTAATATATTAAAATCATTTAAAAAATTTAAAAACACAAATTTAATAGTTTCTCATGTCCTCGTAAACAAATTCTAAAACATTTTTTCTAAAATTAATTTATTTTCTAGAGATTATTAGTTTAATTTGTTCTTTAAAAATCATCATTTTTAATCTTATAAATTTTATCATCAATAAAAATTTTTATAATATTAATTTTAAAATTTATAGAATTAATTAATATATTCACAAGCTGGTATAAAAATATTCATATTATTTTTTTTTTTTAAATAAAAAAAAACACTTCCCTGGTAGGGAGGGCGCTGCTCAATTTAGGAAGCCGCGTCTTCATCTACTTTGAGTTCCTTTGATTACTTCATTATTTAAGATTTTTCGAGCGTCCCCTCGTCTTGATGCACGCATTATATTAAATATTATTAATCTTTCCTTAAAATATTCTAAATTCTTAATAGTTATGGTGAATAAGAATTTAAAAAAAAATCAAGATTTAATAAAATCGTTAATGAGTGCACGTTCAGCTTTGAATTTAATCGGAGATTCCATTTGCTTGTGCTGATCACCGAAAACATTAATCGACAATAATTGTCGACTAATACAAAAAGATCAGCAACTTGGATGGAAATTATTTTAAGATTTCATGTTTAATAGTATATTTATATTCATAATATTTACATTATATGTATAATTCATTTTTATTACATAAAATTCACACCCATATATACACAACATTTTATATATATATATATATATATATATATATAATTCAACTCTCACTTAA